TATATGAAATAGCTTTCTCAACATTGACAGTCATACAATCAAACTATCGATCAACTCTAATGTTGAAAATCCTCTTTGTCAAGCAGTATCAGCTATTTGGAAGAGATTTAACTCATTGTGTAACAACACATCCATCTCATTAGCCTGCAAATTCACTTTCCCCTTTAATAACTGGTAAAATACACATGCCAAATAATTGTTTTGAATTAAGTTTCTTTATCTTTATTATCAGTAAATATTTAATCTGTATAACCTATTTCATATGCCTGTAAACCTAGCATCATATAAAAATTTCTTTAAAGGATTTGTGAATGGGAAAACTTCAAGAAGCAGTGTAGTGTAATGGTTAAGAAATGTGCCATAACTGTCATGGGATTGTAGTAATAAAACTGTCTTTTGCCCACTCATGAATAGTAATAAATACATAGTGTGACATAAAAAATATTTAAAGGAAATTTAACCATAAAGCAAGACTTCTCAAACTCAAATGCTATGTTTGTTGTTTTGTAACCTTGTACAAGTTAATTAGCCTTTGTGCTCCAATCTTCATATGTAAAATGAACTGAATCATCATGCTTGTTAAGATTTGAAATATTAATTATGTAGAGTACTCATACTAGCATTTTGTAACATGTTAACTACTGAGGTTTTTTTTTTTTAAATCCTGTTCTTACTGTTCATTATTTCGTTTTTGGTTATTTGAAGAGATATGATCGTGTTTATCTTCCAGCTCTGGTCAGTGTGTGTGTGTGTGTGTGTGTGTGTGTGTGTCTGTGCCTGTCTGCCTGTCTGTGTGTGTGTGTGTGTGTGTGTGTGTGTGTGTGTGTGTGTGTGTGTGTGAAATCTTGTATTAGCCTCTATAAATGATGGTTTTTTTCTGAGTTTTTTTCATTGAATTATTATGCCCTTATTTTTACATACTGTTATGTAACTTTTTGCACTTTCTAAAGTTTTTCATTTTCCCCTGGCACCATTTCCATTTCTTGCTAAATTGTCTTGGTATTTGAATTCTATGTCAGATGCTTTTCTCAAATATCTGATGATTTCTCTCTGTTTGTATTCAATGGTAAAGGACTGAAAAACTACCTGGAGGGACTTTGTGTCTGAGCACATAACCTGTGAACTAGTTCATTTATGACTCATAAGCTCATCCATCTCTAACAGTCTTCCAGTCTCCTGATGTCTTGCCCGTTCTGTTTAAGAATGACTTCTGTTGTTCTGACAGCCTAGCAGTCGTGTGTGTGTGTGTGTGTGTGTGTGGTGTATGTACATGTGTGTATGTGTGATGTGTATATGCACACATGCATGCATATATGTGATGTGTGTGCACATGTGTGTGTATGTGTGTGTAGTGTATGTGTGGTGTGGTTTTGTATGTGTTGGAATGGAACTTGGATCACTCTTCCCTTGGAGATCTTCAATAAACCATCATCTTATCACATCTCTTTGCTCTGCTCCTACTTCAGAGTTTGTCTGTTTTGTCCTCCATTTCTGATGCAGAGGAGGGAGTAGTAGCATCCTGGCTCTGGGAGAACGTATAGGAGGATCCAGGGTCTCACCAGTTCCTTTTAAAGACTTTCAGCAATCCTTGTGTTTTCATACAAATGATGCTCCTAGCTTTCTGAAATTACTAGTTTCTTTTGTCATTAAGCCAGTTGTTGAGATTAAGGAAAGCCAAGTGGTAGAAACTGGACTATTTTACTATTTTTTTCTTTTTCTGTATAAATCATAGAGAGGATCACTTGAGACACAGAGGCATAGTGTAAAGAATTATGCTTGTTGTGGCATTTTCACATTGGAAACAGCCGAAAGGTCCACAAGACAGAAGTGGTGAACTGAATTTTGATTAAGCAATGCAGTGTAATATTTTAAAGCCATTGAAAATCATGTGCTTAATAAATAATATGGAAAGATCATATCATAAGTTAGCATATAGCTTAGTATACATAATGGTCAATATGTATTTTGTAATGTGTATGAGTATGTGTGTAGACATACATGCATATATATAGAAGAAGCTAGGAGAGGAATATTCAAGTATGTTCAAATTACTTATCCTTGGGTAGTAAATAAATGACTGGCTGTTCTGTTTTTCATGTTTCCCTTCATAAACACAAAAAAATTCTTGTAATCCAGTGAATTCATTTCCTCTATAGTAAAATGGGTACCCTCAGCCACTTGAGTAGCCTCCAGAGATAAAAACTGTCAGAGCCAGGGCCACAGTACACTTCTTCTGAAGTCACTGCAGCTGCACAAAGCCTGAGCCATTGCCAAAATTCTAGTCACCACAACTTGTGTGTTCAGGAGTTAAGGGTCTTGTGTAACAAGGAAAGTGAGTATCACCACCTGCCCAAGGACTCATATCTCTAAAATTTGTGTGGCAACAAAACATGCAGTCATGGCCTTCATGTCTTCAGCTACATAAGAGATAATATCAGCTCTTAGCTTTTGTTTAGGACATTTGTCAAGATTCCAGTGAATTGTGTTGTGTTTATTTTAACTCTGATTATGATATCTTCTCAGAATGCATCTGGCGTAAGAGTCTATCTAGTCCTGTAACTAGGCATCATATCATTGCTATTCAAAACAATGAATACATTATTCATTGATTTAAGTCAATGTCATGTGAAACTGTACCTGATTTCTTATTAAGACCAAAAAGTTTGCCACAGTTGTTTCAAATACTCAAATATGTCACTTTTCAAATAAAAAATAATAAATAAAATCTTTTGAATATTCATAGTAATATAACAATCAGAGGTAGAAATAATCCAGTAAATGGTGGGTAAACAAAATTTAGTATATACATACAATGTAATATTTGCTAATGAAAAATAATGAATTCATGATGTATATTACAACAGGGATAAACATGTTAAGTGAAAGAAACAAGACATAAAATTTTGTATCACTCCATATAAAATGTCCAAGAGAGCCAAATTCATAGAAACAGAAAGATTAGTAGTTGATACTGGCTCTACAACATACATTGGATATCTTTACAGAATGGTGAAAATATCTTGAAGGTGGATAGTGGTTATAATAGTTAATCTCTATTGTTAACTTGGTTGCAGTGAGACACCTGGGAGATTTGTATAGCACAGCACTGAGTATGACAATAAGGACATTTCCAGAGATGATTTGATCGTGAAGGCTCTGACCTAATCAATGGGTTAATCCATTGTAAGATTCAGAATTTGAATAGGCCAATGAGATATGGTGGGATTGTAGAAGGTGAAACTAATTAGAGGAACTTGTTCATTGTGGACTTGCCTTTGACAGATATATCTTAGCTTTGTATCCTTTTTATACCTGTCTGTATCCTGCATCCTACATCCTGATATCATGAGATGGGAAGTTCTACTCCTCCACACTACACTTTTTTGCCTAGCAACAGGCCTGGAAACAATGCAGCCAGATGACTATGGACTGTATCTCTGAACCAAAATAAATCCTTCCTCATTTTATCTTGGTCATTTAGGTGTTCCATCACAGTAACAGAAAGCTTATTCGATGGTGAGAACTGCACAACTCTGAAATATTAAAAACCAATAGACTTCAAAGTATTGATTTTACCTTAATTGTAAACCATATAAGCTGGGCCTTATGGTTGTATGGTACATATCTGTAGTCCCATCTGTCTTGAGGCAAAAAAGGGAGGATCTTAAGTTTGAGGCCAGCCTGAACTGTGTTGTATAAAATGTGACCCTGTCCTCCCTACCCCTAGAGGGAAAAAAATAGTATTTGATCTTGAAAAATAAAAATTGCGATTTAGATAAACTTAAAATATAATTATAGTCGCTATTGTAAATTCCCACATCATTTGTAGTTCTGTCTAATAAAAAATAAAAACAAAAATCAGCCGGGCGGTGGTGGCGCACGCCTTTAATCCCAGCACTCGGGAGGCAGAGCCAGGCGGATCTCTGTGAGTTCGAGGCCAGCCTGGGCTACCAAGTGAGTTCCAGGAAAGGCACAAAGCTACACAGAGAAACCCTGTCTCGAAAAACCAAAAAAAAAAAAAAAAAATCATGACATACTTTTCTTGCTTACAAAATGCTGTTTTTAATTATAACACGTGACAAAAATAATTTTAAACTTTCTTTCATAGCTACTCACTAGGTCACCTTACAAAATAATAAATTGGGATTCAGTATCTATATTTAATACAAAATTTTAAATTCTGTTTTTATTGTTTAAAAAGTAAGTTTGTAGGTGCAAAAACTAGCAATTTGATATTGGGAAAATAAATGTCTTTATTCTCCACTGTTACTTCATTCATTATTCCAGTGAATAAGTTTTTGAATTCTAGAATTACAAATGAGTAGACAGATTATACAATGATGTATTTTATTTTATGGCAAACACAACAGTAACTACATATAGCACATAAGTGCTGATTCCATACTTTGCTTAAGTATATATTTTTATTAGTATATACTCTACTTCTTGCTAAAATAGAATTGATTCTTGTGAATATAGAAATTCAGATGTATTTGAATAATAATAGTTCATTAAAAAACATTAAACTTCATATCTGATATTATACCACTCTTCTGTTTTAGAATTGTCTATATTAAGGCCTGGGCATACAGCTCAATTGGTAGAAGACTTTCCAGCATGCATAAACCCCTGAGTTCAATCCTCTGCCCCACATAAACTGGACATGATGGTGCACCTTAGTCATTCTTGCACTTGACAGATTGAAGCAGGGAAGGAGAGGTTCATAGTCATCCTTAAGTATGCCCTGAACTACACAGGACACTTGTCAGAAATGGAAAGAAGAAAGGATGGAGGGAAGAAGGAAGGAAAGGAGAGGGGGAGGGAGGGAGGGAGGGAGGAAGGAAGGAAATCTCTATCTCATTCTGTTTATGTTTAAATCAATTACAAGGCACCCATGTTTGTTTAATGCATTGGAAAACTCTAGCATTGCTGTCATTATGGTTCAAGAAATTACCATATTTAACACTGATGCCATATAATGTATTATTCTGTTTTCTTAGGAACTCCCTGCACCACAACTTGATGATAATGGTAAAAAAGAGCTTGATGATGCACATAATTCTCAAACACCAGACGCAGATGTTAACATGAAAATAGCCTGGCGATACCAGTTTCTACCCAAGATGCAGGCAAGTCAACATACAAACTACCTCTAAAATTTGCAAATGCATTTCATTTCACTTTGTAGAATCTCTGGTCTGCCCTACTAGGTCTTAGGTCTTGTGGCTTTGGCCCAATTTTTCTTTTTGAAATGGTAATATTATTCTGTGCCATTGTATATTAGAAGTATAAGAGATAAAACTTGTTTTCTTTCATGCGGGTCTGTTCATAGAGGGCAATGTTACATGTCTTCCATCTCTCTCCACCTTACTTTCTGAGATAGTATCTTTCACTAAACCTGAAGCTTACTGATTCAGCAAGCACTAACAGAATAATTTAGATATTCTCTCTTTTCTTCCCTTCCTTCATCCCTCTCTCCCTCCCTCCCTTCCTTTTCTTTCTCTGACAAGTGTCCTGTAGTCCAGGGCATACTTAGACTTGCTGTGTAGCCAAGGATGACTATGTAGCAAGCCCCTGGGATATTCCTGAAGAGATTGCCTAGAATTTTAGAAGAAACTTTTAGGCATTGAGCTTCTGAGTAATATTGGAACTTTGATATTTTGGGACACTTACAGATGGACTAAATGCGTTTTGCATTAAATATGAGACTTTAGAGCCAGAGTGGAATATTATAGTAAAATGATGTGCTTGGCTATTAAATTGATAAGAGATGGTGTCTTAGTCTGGGTTACTATTGTTGTGATGAAACATATGACCAAAGCAACTTGAGGAAGAAAGGGTTTATTTCACTCACAGTTCTATATGACAGTTCATTGTCAAAAGCAGTGAGGGTAGGAACTTGGGGGTAGGAACTGATGCAGAGGCCATGGAGGGGAGCTGCTTACAGGCTTTCCTCCCCTGGCTTTCTCAGCCTGCCTTCTTCTTTTTTTTTTTTTGGTTTTTTTGAGACAGAGTTTCTTTGCGCCTTTCCTAGAACTCACTCTGTAGCCCAGGCTGGCCTCAAACTCACAGAGATCCACCTGCCTCTGCCTCCTGAGTGCTGGGATTAAAGACGTGCACCACCACTACCCGGCATCAGCCTGCCTTCTTATAGAACCCAGGACCACCAGCCCAGGGATGGCATCACCCACAATGGGCTGGATCCTCCCCCATTGATCACTAATTAAGAAAATGCCTGACAGCCTGATCTTATGGAGGCATTTCCTCAACTGAGACTCTCTCCTCTCTGATGACTCTAGCTTGTGTCAAGTTGACATAAAACTAGCCAGTACAGATGGATTTATAGGGATTATAGTGGACTTGGAATTATCTAGGAGACACACTGGTGCTTTTAAGAGATTTAGCTGAGGAGAGAAGACCCAATTAAATATGGCTGTCAACAACTGTTTATAGAACCAATTTTACATGAAGGTTTTTCCTCTTATAAGCATTAATTGCTGTAACAGGTGTTGAGGCATCTAATGGCTTTCAGAGTTTTTCTTCATCATGAATTGGTCCATGTAAGAGAAAGCTAGCATATAGGCTTGAAGCCAAAGAAATCAATCCTTCTAAGTTGATGGTATTATTTGGGAATTTTTAGAAAATGCTGTAATTATGTGATGTGTGTGTTTGTGATCATGCAAACTGGTTCCTGAAAATGTTAGACCATTGAATCTTGGAGATGAATGTCAAGAAGTTGTCAAAAATCAGACCTTGGGGAAATGAACATTTCTTAACTGCCCAGTCATATCTCTAGTGCTGTAAATTTTTTAAAGTCTATTTATATCATGTTGAAGTGTAGAAATGAGGACAAACTCATACAAGAGAAAAACCCTATTTAAACAATTTGGTAAAGACTTTAGGCATCACAGTTGTCTTCAGCTTCAAGAAAAAGAAATCATGTTTCATTTATTTTTCATCACATACTTGAAGGAAGTAAATTACACCAGGTTCACTTAGGACTAATGGTAGAGATCACGGCATTGTGATTCCTATCTTTAACTTTTGAGGTAGATACTAAAGTGTACTATATGTGTGACAAATACATTTAGTGATGTTTCTTTTGTTGCCTTTATATTTCTCCTTTGCCTTTTGTTCATTTTCTATTGTACTTTTCTTAGTGATAGGTATTTTTCTGCTGTAATGCAGAGAATGGTATACCCATCATCTAAGTGGTCCACTGTTTACTTAAATATCAGGCAGTGTGTGATCGTACTTTTCAAGTTAGGTTGTCTGTAAAATGGTGGTGGGTTTTTGTTGCTGGCTTTGTTTTTCATATTTTCACAAGTTCCCTTGAGATATATGCTTGTAATTCCATTTGGCTTGGATGTCAGTAATGATTCAGGGATATATTTGAACTCATGATCCTCATGTGTCCACCTCCTGAGTACAAGTCCAAAGGTAGATGATGTACTCCCATCATGTATGCTTTTTTCAACAAAATTTAACAATGTTAATGTTTAAATGCTTAATAGAAGAGAATATAAAAAACATTAAATACCTCATGTATGTATTCAAAAAAATAATAAATAAATAAATAAATAAATAAATAAATACCGCTGTCCCATTCCATAGGCTGAGGTCCTGGACTTTATTTAAAAAAAAAAAAAAAAAAAAGCACATAGAACATGAGCATTCTTCTCTCTGCTTTCTGACTGTGGAAACAATGTGACTTGCTCCATATTCTGCTGCCATACCTTCTCCACCATGTCAGACCGTTCAAGGGAACTCTGAGCTCTAACAAACTCATTTCTTGTCAGATAAGCTGGTCATAGCAGTGAGAAAAGTAATACAGTACTTCGTATTTCATATGTCACAGTATTTTAGAATTAACTGTTCGGATACCTTCTCCATCAGATGAGACTTCTTTGTGAAGATAGAGAATTTAATTTATTTTCTCCTGTATGTCCACCACCTATACTAATGCCTACATAGTGAATAATAATAAATGTAGGTATTAATAGTTAATAATTTAAATGTATTCATTCAGTCAGCAAATATCAAGTAGTCGCCCATCAGCTGTGTACAAAACATGCACACTAAATAATAGCAAGCTCACCTTTTACACATATAATTCATTTGAATACCACGATTTAAAACTTTGATTTACACAACTGAACGAACTACAAATTAGAGAATATTTGTACTCATATGTAAAATAAGGACTGATTTTCCTTGTATATGTTGATCCTATAGAATAAACAAGAAAAACCCAGTTTTTACAAGTCAGCAAAGATAGGAAGAGAAAATTTTTGTGACTCTTAAACTTATTAAACAGATGTCTGGTTTCAGTTACAACAAGAGAAATGTAGTTTAAAACTATAATGCTGCCATGTCAGTGTTCAGTAACCAGCGCCATGGTGTTCTAAAGTGTTTGTCAAGATACTTTATTAGCAGTAGAGGGAAAATCATACTCTCCTTCTTGCTGATAAGAGTACAAGTGGTAGAAGAGTGCAGGATGGCTCAGCAGGTCAGAGCACTTGCTGCACTTGCTGCGCTGGCCTAACCACCCGGGTTTGCACACCCAACCCGCATAAAGGGGGAAGGGGAGAGCCCACTCCACAGCGCTAACTAGGGTCCACAAATGTCCACGCTTAACATGCATCACATACAGGCACAATTTTAAGAGAAATTTTAAATATAGCTTCTGTAAAGGATGTTTGGTAATAGCCTTCAAAATTTACCTCATGAATATATTTACTCAGCTTTAGAATATGTAAAAGCCGTTCATACAGTATATTTGAATAGTGAAAGATTGAAAATAACCTAAATGTCTACTAGTAAACAAGTGATATATATCATAGTATATCTGGAGTGTAAAGTTGTTTATATTAAAAACTAATAAAGGAGAATTGGGTATATTCAAAAGTGTGTCACATGTTTAACCTAGTGTATATGTCACTGAGAATCTAGGAGAAATGTAGCTCATCTACTTAGGACAGAGAGTTAACTGACAGGTTGAAACAGAGGAAATGGAGGGAATGCTTAAACCTCAGTGGTAGTTGGCATGTACTTTATCTATTAAGTTTATTAAGTCATTTTTTGACTTAGGGATTTTTTTTACCATGTTTAACTTTTAGAGTTCTTTATAGATTGTGAATATTAACCCCCTTTCATATGCATAGTGGGTAAAAATTGTTAACTATTAAAGTAGGCAGTCTCTTTACTCTGCTGTTTCCTTTGCTATATAGAATTGTTTTCATTATATGTCATCCCATTTCTGGATGGTTGAGATTATGCCCTGTGCTGTTGAGGCCTTCCCATCCTGTGCCTATGCCTGAGTGTCTGATCTTTTTTTCTCTAGCAGTTTCAGCCTCAGATCTTATATTCATTCAGTTCTTGGATCCATCCATTGATTTTTGTACAGGGTAAGAGATACTGACTTAGTTTCCTTCTATGTATATGGTTATTCACTTTCCCAGTACTTTCTGCTCAGATTATCTTTTCCCTATTATTCTGTGTGCTGGTTAGTTTTTTTGTCAATTTGACATGAGCCCCATACATCTGGGAAGAGGGAATCTCAATTGAGAAAAATGCCTCCATCAAATTGGCCTGTAGGCAGGTATGTGGGGTATTTTCTTGATTAATGTTTGATATGGGTGGGTCCAGCTCATTTTGTGGATGTTACCACCCCTGGGCGGGTAGTCTTGGGGTGTAGAAGAAAGAAGGCTGAGCAAGCCATGGAGAGCAAGCCAGTAATCAGGATTCCTCTATGGCCTCTACCTCAGTCCCTGCCTCCAGCTTCCTGCTTGAGTTCCTGCCCTAACTTCTCTCAGTGATAGAGTTTGATCTTGGAGTTGTAAGGTGTAATAAACCCTTTCCTCCCTGAGTTGCTTTTGGTAATGGTTTTCAGCAGAGCAATAGAAAACAAACTAGGACGTTCTAGTTTCCCTTCTCTTACTTTGATAAGACTGACCAACAGCAACACAGGGGCAAAAGAGTTTCTTTGGTTTATACTTCCAAGTCACAGTCCATCATTGCTAAATCAAGTTAGGAACTCAAGCAAAAACTTGAAACAGAGACCATGAAGAAACAGTGCTTCCTGGCTTTTAAATTATTTTATTTAATAATTTTAATTAAATATAAATAT